CTTTTTCAGACGAGGAAGCTGAGGCTCAGAAAGGTTAAATAATCCGCCCACAGTCACACAACTAGTAAGTGGTTAAGCTGGACTTTTACCTCAGGTAGTCTGCCTTCAGTCAAGCTCCTAACCACTATGCCTATTGCCTTCTCAAATGCATTAGAATGTCCTTCACTTCCACTAAGTATGCTTTCTCTGTTTCTTCATCAGAAACACAAGGCTCTCATAGTCCATCACTCACTTTTCCACCTTTGATAGACATGGATATTCAGAACTATTTCTCCAGTATAAGAAAAGTAAAGTGTATGTGCGATGGCAAATGTCGACTGAACTCGCTGCCATGACAGGGAGTGACGCTAAGGATGCCATACCCCTTCTAAGAGGCAGTGGCATCTCAGCTGGAGCCCACTGAATGCCTTGCAAAACCAGTCCAGTGCTACTAAACAATCCAAATTTCCAAAAGAAGCTGAAGATGCGCAACCTGTTGATCTTAAAATGTTAGCAAAAATTCCAAACTTTTTTAAAACACTGGCAGACCAGAAGGAACCTGTCTGGGCTTTGATTAACTATGCTTCCTGTTCCTCAAACCCTGTCCACCCCTCGCTTTTGCACCTGCAGTTCCTTATGCCCAGGACCTCCACCCTCTTCCACCTAGTTCTTAAAAGTGCATTTTAAATGCCAATTCTTCTGATTCTTGTCTCTGTAATAACACCTGTCCGTCTGTGTAACAATTGACACATCTAACTTCCTATTAGGCCATGAGCTCCTTATGGGCAGAAATGGTATCTTATTCATTTCTGTGTCCCCAGGCTACATAAGGGATCACAGTAGAGATCTACTGAACTGAGCTGCAATGCTCCTGTAAAACAGGACTTTATCAGGGAGTCCTGTCTGGAACGTGCCCTGTACCCAGCCTGCATCCATCACAACCCCAGGCCTCCCTCACCTTAAGGATGTCCTTAATGATCTTCTTCTCATCATGGAATCGTGCCTTCAACTCCTCCACATAGAACTTGAACAAGTCCAGAGGGGTGGAGCCTGCGGGGGGAGGGAGGGTG